TTAGATGTACCCGCCATGTGGGCATCTTTCTGCCTGATCCCCTCAGCTATGCCCTGGGAGATGGCCTGAGCAATTACTTCCTTCATCTCTGCGGACAGGCCTGGGCCTTTGTCTTCCCTGGGTCAAGCCCTTGACGGAGTAATCCAGCCCCTGTTCCCACCCGAGCCAGTTCCCTCCTCCACTGGGAGGATGCCCTGAAAGGGTTCCAGCTCCTCTCTGAGAGATGAACTGTGTAATTCAGGGTAGCCCCAGGAGGCATCAGGGGAAGACTCACGCGATTCCTCCCCAATTAATGAGGAAGACCTGTTCCCTGAGGTGAACCAGGTTTTCTCTTCTCCATCTGGCCAGAGGGTGGACATGGCAATGAATCCATCTGCTATGGGGATTTGCTCTGCCTTTGGGCCTGCTGGAGTTTGTGCTCCACAGGCTTATGCTTCCGGGTTCCCTCCCTAGTTTATCCTTATTCCCTGAGGGTCCCGGGGAGGCCTTCCTGATGGTGCCCTTTCCTCCCTTCCCCCCTTTGGGTGGAGGATCTAGCCTACTGCATTGGGAGGAGGACCCTGCCTGCACATCCTGCGCCTCCGAACCTCCATCTGTCATGATGATCTGCAGAAGCCTTGATGGTGTAGATGCCTGAGGCACAGGTGTTAATGAAGCAGTAGACAGGCACAAGGCGCGAGCCAGCCGGCTGCGGAACGCCCGTAGATCAATGTCGGGGAGGAGGGACGCCTGTTGGAGCTTCCAAGCGCTCTGGGCGGCGCTATTGACAACAGCAGCTGGGGGAAAAATGGACAGGAAGCCTCCTGCCGCCCCCTTGCTCGCCAGCAGCTGCTGGACAAGCAACTCCCTTGTTCTCACGCTGCGTGCGACCAGCAGCCCACCAGCAGCAGCCCTCTCAGCAATTCAAAAATGATAGCAGTTTTTTCCTTGAGTTTTGTTTACCTATATCTATCTAAGACAGTTCTATACAAAAATAAAAAAGGGTGAGAAAATTCTCTATGCATAATTTGGAGAGTCCAATCTATCTGATCTAGAACTGAGGAGCTCCCCAACATTAGTCCTAATGGGCGGACTGAGTTTTTAAACTGATTTCAATGGGGCAAAGGGAGGCGTGGTAAAAAAAAAATTCACTTAGTCCTAAGGCAGATAGACTGTGTTAACCCGTACTTGACTCTCCAAGCAGTGAACAGGAGAATATAGAACATTTTTTCAGGATTTGGTTCAAGAATACAAAAATGTCATGAAATTGCAGCAATGTATGAAATCTGGTAAAATTTCAGTTATTCTGGAGGGAGGAAGGTACCATATGAGATTGCATAATAGGACTGACTTTGCCCCATAGCATTTTCTTTCCAAGCTTTTCTATAGAGTTCAGTGCACAATTTCGAGAAAGTTACTCTGTCTTAATCCAACCTTAACTCAAGATTATTGTAGAGATTAAATGGACATTTCTATTAGTTTCCAAAAAAAATATGGGCTATAAATGCAATCAATCAATCAATTATATATACATATACATATACATATACATATACATATACATATACATATACATATATATATCTTTGATGTTACATTATCTCTCTCACACACAATTTTCCTGGAAAATCCCCTTAATATGCAGAAACTTTCTTGCTTTCATATTGGCCCCATTTTATTTCTAATCTGGTATGGAAGCATTAAAATGGAAATTAAAGGGCAATGTTGATTTACCTCCAAACAGCGCTTTGGTGATGGAATTAGTTTGTCTTTCAACCTTTTAGCATCTATGAGGAACAAACCTAATGGTCTCTTTTGTTTTATTGCCAACGCTTCTTTGTGTTGTCTGTGATATTTCTCCAGTTGTTCAGCAAAAAATTTAACATCTGTTTATTTTAAACAGAAGGATACAGTTAGTCATTTATAGATGGCTTGAGGGGGGAAATTATATTGTATTTCCTCATGGGAAAGAATATAAATACATTTCCCTCTTTTTATTTAGAAAAAAAGTTTTTTTTAATGATGAAGAGAGATTATTCAAAATGGGTTATCTTCTTCTGTCTGGTCTATAGAGAGTTTTTACAGAAATAAACAAATGTTTATTTTGTATGAAAGCAGCCACTTCCATTCCAGAATGTTATGAAACCTAGACACAAACAACCTCAATTCAGCAATACAATTTCAGAGAAGTGGTAGGTTTTTAGGCCACTCATTTGCTTAACAATAGCAAGGGATCTGTTCCATTCCATTCCATTAAGTGTTTCTCTGATAAAAAATACCAAAAGCTTTTAACTATTTTTAAAATGGTTGCTATAAAAAATGGTATTGCAGATTTCATGAGATTAACACACCTATTAGAACTGTGAAAAGCTTTGGATTGAAAGGTGCAATAGAACTTCAGAGAGCAAGCATGCTCATAGCATAAAAAGATAACTATACTAGGGGTAAGAAATCAGGGAAGGTAAACTACAAAAAGGATGTTGTGTCACTGCAATGGGTATTTCATATTTTTATCATGAAGTTTATATTAGTCACCTATATGCAGCAACATTTTGCAATTCTTTAAAGTAGTTGTGACTTTTTCTGGAATTGTTTTTTCCAGTTCTAGTGTGATCCTGGAAAAAGGCTTGTTTGCAGACTGATGCTTCAAGTGGACTTTTAAGCATCATTTTACCTTTTAAATTCAACTACTACTAGTGAATTAAAGAATCAGAAAGAATCCAGGATTATCTACACTACACACCAACCACCAACACCAACCATTCTATAATAGAATATTGCAGTCTTCCTCTGTTTTTATTCAAATTCAGTTCAAAAAGGAAACCTAAAGTTGACTCCCGGTAGAGAGAATTTTGGATTTCACAGACAAATAATAAATCTAACTTTGCTCTGAATTTCAGACAATAATGACCCAAACAATAGTGAAGCAGATTATTAAACTGTCACATGTACATGTTTTAGAAAAAAAAATCTCTTTTGGTACTTAGTGGACATTCAGCTTAAAAGATACCCCTTGCCCCATTAGGCCATTAAAAGAAGAATTTATTCCTCTGTCTCTGTCTCTGTCTCTCTGTCTCTGTCTGTCTGTCTGTCTGTCTGTCTGTCTGTCTCTCTCTCTCTCTCTCTCTCTCTCTCTCTCTCTGTGTTTGCACATGCATACACACACACACACACACATGGTTTATCTATAATCCTTTAATACTTATGTTGTCTGGAAAATAGTTTCGATTTAGTGATTAAGGCACCAGACTAGTAACCAAAAAATTGTGAAAAAATGACTTTGGGTCAGTTCCTTTCTCTCAGGCCATTCAGAGTTATCTAATTACATAATTACCACTGAATCTCATCTACCTTTGTCTATGCTTTGCAATGCTAAGATAATAGCTAAAGAGACAGAGACAATCTTCTTAAGGCTATATGATTGGATTAGGTGCTGGTTGCCTTAGCTTTATTTCAGAATATACTGTAGTAAGCTACCTATATTGGGGAAAGTGAAAAAGGAAGCCTCTTTTCTTCTTTTAAAACATATGGAATATAACATTTTCAGATAAAAGCTAGGTGCTGCCACCTACAGTAAATGAACTTGTTTAATGCCACATCCAGGAGATTTTCTATAATTTCGATATTTCAAATGTTTACTGGCATAACACACTGCTAAGAAAATCATTTCCTAATCAAATGGGACACAAAATGTAACAAAATATAAAACAATATTTACCAGGTTCTTCTTTCTTTAGCGCTTGCAAATCAAGGCTTTCATTTTCTCTAAAAAATAATCGAAACTTTTCAAAAGTAGCTCCATATAAATTTGCTGCTTCAAATGCTGAATCAATTGTTTCCTAAAAAGTAAAAAAAAAAATTTAAATTATTATACTTTAATTAACTTTCATCCATATGATGGTTCTATTTAATTTCTTCTACTTTTTTCAATATTACTATGCTGTGTTATTCTTAAATAGAAGCAATGATAGCAAGCATATAAAAGTTAAAGAGCAAGTTGAAATATCTACCCTAAAGTAAGTAATTATTGTGCTAGCTTGTTATTTACTACCCAACTGTTTTAGGTAGTTTTAAAAAAAGGAAGACAGTATTTCAGTAGAGTTCAGTAGGGCTTTATTGCACACAGTTGTCAGAGAAATCCAGATTTAAGGATCTCAAAACCATGTTGCTACTGGCCAGGCATTCTTTCTCAGCTTATTTTACACACAGGATTGCTGTTGTGAGGATAAAAGGAGATTTCCAGAAAAAAGTGAGATATAAATGAATATGTATTAAATAAATTAAATTCTTTAAATATAACTACCGGTATATTAGAAGAAACTGTACAACCTGCATTTAATCAGGCGTTTTACTTAGTTAAATTCTTAAAAGATGTAGTTTTCGGTTGAAGTGAATCTAAGTTGTTATTATCCAAATTCAACATTAAAAAAAATCTATTACATTTTCATTTACACTCAGCTCTTAATGAATAAATAAATGCATTACATAGTTAATTTGACTCCTCTTTGTGATGCCCAATACCAAAGCTGTAAATAATGTCTTTTTCTGATCTTTTCTGAGGACCAAACTATTATTAATTACCTTACTTATTATAAATAGCAGCTGCAAGTAATGGAAAAGATCTACCACCACTCCTTGGTATAGTATTATTCACAGCAAGGTGAATATTATTCCAAAACCAAATTTGCATTGCAAGAAAACCTCTCAGTGACACCAATGAGCCTTGATTATAATCATTATCCCAAGCCACAAGCTGCAATTTGCATTAACAAATCTCCCATTGTTATTAGTGGACTATTATCCCAATATTGAACAAACCACATCTGCTGCTGTTTCCCTTTTGTGTATATTAGAGGGGGACATGTGTTTAACCTTACAGTTTGGTTCAAAGAAATTTATTAGCCAGTTTATTCCCCCCTCCCCTCACTGACTTTTCATGGACAGTGTTACTAATTTAGATATATAGATATAAGTAGATAATAGCTGTTGCAAGAATATCTTTAAAAAATATTGATATTAGCACTTTTCTCAGAGAAGACACTAGGAGAAGAAAAAAATTAGGAATAGAATAGGTGTGAAGCCTCCTATATTGGGTAGCAGCAATATAGAAAAATGCTGGAGGCACATGATAACTTTAGTGACAATGGCAAAGAAATCAATTCATACTTCATGGGAGAAAACAATAGTAAATCCGTTCCTTTATTTTTGCCCAAAAAAACCTCCACATGGATAGAAAAACTAAATTGATTGATGACGTAGTGCTTGGATGATGGGCCTTCAGGTCACCGGCACGCAACATGTTACTGAGGAAGAACTGAAGATGTTTCAGAATAGTAATGGTGGTGATAACATAGCTAGAATAAAGCCTTTGGGATGTCTAGTTCAGTAATGGTTTTCTCTTAACTTTGCCACCGGTTTGGAACCAGGAGCGCTCACATGCGCCCCTTCTGTGTATGCACAGAACCTTCTGTGCATTCACAGAGTGTTTGTGATGATGTCTGGGTGGGTAGGTGGGCGGAGCCTCCCGCCACTACCAGTTTGCTCAAACCAGGGCGAATGGCAGAATACCATCTCTGGTCTAGTTGCTGATGTTGCCAAATAAGAAAAGAAAAGCCAAAGGTGCAAAATAGAATCACAATAGGAACATAGAACATAAGAAGCACGAACACAGGAAAGCTCAATACAGTGTAACATGAAATGAAATGACTATAAATTGACACCTTAGGCTTCAGTAAATTGAGATCAACTCTTGTGAAAATATTGAAGTGGTGGATAATTTCTGCCTTTTAGAATCAACCATCAACACCAAAGGAACAAGCAGTTAAGAAATATGCTGCAGACTAGCACTTGGTAGAACAGGTATAAAGTCCTTGAAAAAGATATTCAAATGCCATGATGAGTCTCTACCTACAAAAATCAGTATCGTGTATGCCACAGTATTCCCTGTGACACTGTATGGAAGTAAAAGTTGGAATTTGAAGAAGGATGATAGAAAGACTATTCACACTTTTGAACTTTGACATTGGAGAAGATTCTTTAGAATACTGTGGACAGTCCAAAAAAAGAAAATGGGGCGTTGGTTCTTACCTGATACGCCCCTTCTCTGGGCAGGTGGAGACAGCGGTCATGCATGGGTTAACTCAGTCAGTAACCAATAAAACTGAGTCTACCAAAGTGATGTCATTGTGATTAAGAAAGGAGATCTAGAAACTTTGTTATTAAACATAATTAATTTTTATTTAGAAAGCATTTTCAAGATGTAATGTTGCTGGATGATATTGAAAATAGATAACGGAATGCCATCATGTGGTTTTGCTTTAAATTTTGGAATATTTTATATAAAGGGACGTAAAAACAATTATAGTCATATGAAGATTGAGGTATGATGATAGTAATATATATATAAATATATTTGATTTAAAATATATAACTTGATATGAATTGTAGGTGATGACTATGGAAGGGATGCACAAAAGCTCTTTGTAACCAATTGACACACTTTTTACAATTTGTGACTCAGCAGAAGCTTGCTGTGAGTTGCGTCGGAATG